CGGAAAAACAGCCTATGCTAAGTTTTCATATTTTGTTGTGTTGAGTGAGAGAATGAAATACCAGATGTTTCTTGGCTCCTACAGTGGTGATGCCGGTAAGAACATTTCTTTAGGTTTTATTTCTACCTAAGACCTTACGTGATGAAATGAATATTTTTGGCTCTAGTGGTATAATGATCATTGTGATTATTTCAGACCTTTCGAAGTTTATAGACCTATGATTGACATAAATGGAATAATTGATCGACACCTTGTATAATATCATATACGTTAAACGCTAAATTAAGGGTATAACTTATATTTATTGCTACTCTAACCATATTCGAGAAATTATCCCAATATAAAATGTCATAGTTATAATGTTATTGAAAGGAAATGTTTTATAAACACAAACCGTGACTTTAACAAACTACATCCTCTCCTCTTAGGTTGTATTTTCTACCTTTAGATTATCTTAGTTATCACATTCTATGAGATATTGTAAATACTTATACTAAATGAAATATAAAGAACCAAAAACATGAAAATAATAGATAAAAAAATCTTTAAGCTCTATAATCTAGTAATGTAGAAAATATATTGATTCAGGGAGGTGAATGTTTCATCTGACACTAACCAGGCATGACGTCGTTCAGGATAGAAACAATATTATATGATACTAAAGAAATATCTTATACAATGTTTGTTTCTTGTGATTTAGAAAAGTGAAGACAACATTTGATACTAAGAAAGTATTATGTGGTTTAGGGTTCTGTTACTAAGTGTGGTATGGAAAGGAAAGGCATGCATGTATTTGCTGAAGAGAGAAATCAATGGGATAAAAAACGTCCAACATCTGAAGTCAACAAAAACTATAAAACCAAATCTTGAAGATTTACCTCGACTTTATTCCACAGATATGATATAAAGGTTTTATTTATCTACCTGTAGTTCAAACTTTCATCATTCTTTAAATCACGTATTCTTAATATATATAGGACTTTATATACTTATCTTTAGTTATCTTTGTAAAAGGTCATCAGTGGGTCATCGGTATGTGTGTGTGGATCGTTAAAAACCGGGTTTCGATACTCGTGGCGAGTTCAGCACAGATAGCTTATTGTGTATCTTTATACTTTAATAACAAACAAACAAAAATTCTACAAAAAGATTTAACTTTTGAGTATGATATTATGGACATAATAAGTTTATTATTTTCACATCCCTAATTAAAAATATCATCTACATTAAATGTAAATTTACAAATTATGTGAACTTTTTGAAGAATCAAGCTAATATAAAAGTATGCATATTATTTCATAAGCAATTATCTAATGGGTTTTTTCTACCCAAGAAATTGAAAAAATAATTCTTTGATAACAGAAATTGAAAGCTGAATGTTCGTTTTTGTGGTTTTGATTCAGGTACAAGATGTACTTCCTTCAATATGTGTTTAAGATATTCAGAAGTGTTTTCTTAATCTTAGTTTATATTTATCGCCCCCTTCTCGATGGTTCAGCGTTAAGTCTGAGGTTTATTACTCTACTCTAAAATTCGGGTTTCGATATCTGCAGTAGGCATAGTTCACGTAGCCCATTACTGTACATTTTGCTTATGATTGAAAACACAACTTTTACTAATCAAAGGTGTTTGAGTAACTTACAAAAAAAATTGTTTGTATCTCACTTATTCTTCTAATATTTATTTTCAGAGGACTAAATTAATCCTGTTATAATCAAATTATAAAAAAAATACGAAATCATATGAACCGCGACCTTTCGAAAGTGAACCTTTCTTCATCAGGAGCAAACTAGTCCGTTTGTTGAAGGCTTTCTTTCCACTTTTATATCTCTTGCTTTGTAGAAAACATTATATTAAATTGTTAGATTAAATACTATATTTTAATAGATAATTCTAACAGGTATTTTGTATATATCTCAACAGGTGATTCACTTACGTACCACAACGGTTCACGTTTCTCAACAGAAGATCAAGACAACGATGCAAATTCGAAAAGTTGTTCTACTGAATATGGTGGTGATGGCGGATGGTGGTTTAATACGTGTGTCCACAGTAACTTAAACGGTGTTTACCACAAGAGTGGTAAATCTTCAAAATCTTGGAGAGGAATTAGTTGGAACAATTTTGGTGGTTCAACTGTTTCACTAAAAAGAACAACGATGAAAATTAGACCTTCTTATTTTGCTATTCCTCTTTGAATTAGCATTTTTTGAGAAACAGTAAAGCTTGATTTTGAAATACATAATATGTATGTTTAATTGTTTTTTGTCTCATTATTTAACTTTAAATCATCTGTGAAGAACTTTAGTTAAAAAAAACATATCAAGCTTGTATACCTGTCCATACATATAATTAAAGAATAAATTACCAATGTTTTCCAGAGTTGACCATTATTACTTTCTACATTTCGTGACATATTGATCTAGGTTTACCGAATATGGTCGTATATAATTCTAATGGGTGAAACTATCGAGATTCATAACGTGACTAACGACTCTGTTCATACTTTATAAATATTTTTTCTATTTCAACATTACACTACAATACTCTGTCGATAACACTTGCAGTATTAAATACTAGCTTATTGTTTAAAATTGATTTGAAATTAACTGATTTCAAGATAATTACTATTTGTTTTAAGAAATACTAAAAGATAAAGATTTGTTTTAGGTAAACAACTGATAAAATGTTGATAATCTTCTCAGCTAAAGGATGTCAAACCAGCAGATTTCCATGCTGCAATACTACCCTTTTCGTTCTTTAGAAGTTGACAACTACTCACAGGTCAGGCATGGTTGAGAGGATAATGTTCTTTGACACTGGATCTCAGGGTTTGTGATTCTCTCCCTCTTGCTACAAAAACCCACTCTGTCAGTCTTGCACTACAAGATTTACAGTTAAATCACAATATTCGGTCAGGAGAGAGTCGCCAAAGTATTCAAACGTAGTGGAATACTTATAGAAACAAAACATTAAACAAAGAGAAAGAGAGATTAATGAAAAGTTAGTTAAACTATAGAAAACTTTTATTTTATCAATCCTTAAATTTAGGTTTTATGTTAATAATTTTTAAAAAATTATATTTTCATTTCACCAAAATAAATCAATTGTCATATCTAAAGATATCTCGGAACTTTTTTATTTTTGATTACTTCAGCGCTGTAATATATTTTTGTTAAACACAAAGCTACACAATGGGCTATTTGTGCCTTGCCCACTTGAGGTATCGATCCGCTAATTTCAGTGTTTTAAACCTACAAGCGTAACGTTGAATTCCTGAGGAGCTAAAGCAGTGAAACATGAAACTTGACTTCATTTTATAATGGCTACAACTACTCCTTTTACTGTGCAATTTTCTCCATAAGGTCAAAAACAAACAACACATGATAAATATTGGATTAGTACAAGTATATATTATTGAACTAGATGAGAAATTTCACGTTAAATATTCAATCATATTTTTTACATTTTGATATATTCTGAGTTAGTATAAAAATAATTAAGTATTTCATACTAAAGTATCGGTAGCCCTAAAAATTAAGTAAAGCTTTAAAGATGCGATTTTGTGAAAATGAAACCCGTGAAATAGTATATTTAAGCATATTTAGAAGCTTGATGGTTTGTAAGTACAACCAATATTCGTTTTTGATTGTTAAAATAAATAAACTGATGAAAAAACTGTGTAATCCACACACTTAAAATCTGACTTTTTCGCATAAGAAGATATGCTGAAAAGGAAAAGAACATAGTAAATTTGTAAATGAAGTAAAAAGTGTTGTGGATATAAAGAACACAACCAATTAATCACGAGGAAAGGGATATGCAACTCACTGTTTATAAACAATATCCATATAGATGTCGATTGTTATTTTTTTAAAGAAGTAGTGATACACTTCCCAGATATAAATTTTATAACATTTTATGAACTGTAGACTATACCGATTGTGTGTCCCAGGAAATTCACCTGTTAACGGAACAGTTCACACTTCTTGGAATTAGCTAAAGTATATTTTCCTCAACTGATTCAGATACTTCCTTAGCCATCATAAGCATTATCAAAGGTCTTCCCGTGTATGATTATACATCCAAACAGATGAGTACGACGTACCAGGGTAGTTAAAACACAATCCATTAATTATTTAAATGTAGCATGTTCATTACATAATGTAAATAGTAACGCAGTAAACTGTCACGATCCATTTTCTATAGCAAAGGCTGCCTTCTCCACTTAATTGATTTTGATATTCCATGAGCAAGCCGTATAATATATGTGAAAATTTGAAATCAGTCTTTCTACATATTGTCTCGAAGGTGATTACTTCTGGTGTTCTTTGATGTACCTGTACAACTTAACTTCTTGCTATATCCCTTCCAGACTTGACTCGAATTTTATGTTTTATTGTGTTCATTGCCCTAATGTTCAACATCTTTATTCTTCAGAGTGCTTTCAATCAATAATTTCTCAGAACTTGCTAGAGTATTCGGTTCTAAAATGCTATGGTCACAAGATATATATTCATTCCTCATAAGTTATTGATGAGTATTTCACATCTTGGTTGTAAAATAACTGAGCTCCTTCCTATGACTAGACATTCAGCATCTTGTGTAGTAATTGTCATGAAGTGAGCAGGGATTGAAAATTTAGTTGAATCTAACTTAATGTCGCATACATGTCTTCATATGAAGTTAGTTTCCAATATGCAGTCTTCCTCAATATCAGTTATCCACAATTCAGGAGGTATAGAGAAACTTCCTACAGTAAGGGTAACTTTCAACTTTCCACTTGTTAGAACATCATGTCCACTTGCTGTTTAGTCAATTCATCTTATTTCTTTATCTATGAAGACAATTTCTCACATTTCATTACCAAATCAGACGACTGTAGCCATTGCTGAATAACATATTGAAAGGCTTCCAATCCATAAACCTGTTCACTTGTGTACTGCATTTTTTAAACAATAAACTTCTAACCTAAACTGGGGCAATTGGAGTGTTATCAGCTTAGCTTATTCTCATAATTCCTATTTTTCCGATGCCTGTTTAGATCTTTGTTGTTCCTTTATTTCGTTGGGCTCACAGACTCATCCTTATGGTATTGTCTCCTTGGTTTATTATCAGATGTTAATTATTCACAGAATCAGCTATAACGGCCATGTCTCCATTTGTAACATGGCCATTTATAATATTTTCATTTTTCTTAGGTCCTTTGAAAAAAAAATATTCCTTTCATGCTTTTGTCTGCAATTTCTGACAATATGTCCTTTCCAGTTGCACTTGAAATATTAATTGTCTTGTGGCTTATTTCTTCTATTCTCTGTATAACTAATCCATTTTGTTATTCTTAATTATTGTCAATAGTTCATTGTTACTCAATCTGAGGATAAGTTGTGCTCTTTAGTTGTTTGTCTGCGACTTATAGGTTTCAAGTTCCATAACCAACTGAGGAGTTTCTTGTGACATTTATGAGTTGGTAACTAGCAAACAAAAACCTGGAACATCAAGGTAGGATAATTGTCCAATATTTTCCAACTCATTCACACATTTGATTAAGGACTCTTCTTTCCTTAATCAAGTGTATATGAACTTTACTTTACATACTTCCCTCTGATGTGGATAAGACAGCTACAAATCTTGATAGCTGTTCAAAAGTTTATTAATATCATTACAGCTGGTCCTTTTATATGGGCAGCAAGATGAATAGCACGTTGTACACAATTCCACCTCTTCACTTTGGTCATTATTTTTAATGAGCATGATATGCTTTCCATTGTACCTTGCTATTGTATTCCATTGATTTCTCATTTAGAAAATGCTATTGAACTGGCCAGACAAATTCTAGAACTGGATTTGGTAATGATATCGCTTGAATGACCCAAAAAAGTCCTGCAGTCACAGATGCTACAGCATAATGGTAACAGATATGAACTAAACAGGTTCCGCTATTCTATATTTTATACTAAATATTGTTTTAGGTTGCAGTTCTTGAACAGATGCAAAACGAAGCGCTGCTTGTTTAATATTTGCATTAACTAGTTCATTTTTCAAATGTTTTATTGTGTCATTAATCTTCCTTTCTACCTAATTGAGCTTGTTTTATAATCTTTCAATATTTCATGGATATATCTTTGTATTTCATTGATGTCTCTCAATTTTATCATTAAATTCTATCTGTAGTTCTTTATTATTGATTTTGCCATCTCTCTGTACATCTCCTATAGCTCAATAGATCTTATCTTTATTCAGATTAATTTTTGGTATTAATTCTTATTTTTTAATATGTTATCCCCTTTAATTATTCTCCCAAATTGAGTTCTCTTACCTCGACTTTTTAAATTTATTATCTCTTTGTTCTTACTCTTATTTTAATTTTATGTCTTATTATTATTATCTAATTTTCTGTTATTTTCCTTGTTCCACTTTTAGTTTTTTTGTCTATTTCTTTTTATTCTTCTTTCTACCATTTCATCTCCAGCAAATTTTTAATCTAGCTTTATGCTCGTGTTGTAATCTTAAAGTTTAGACAAAGCTTTATTTTATTTTCACCAATATAATCCCACTTTTTACACCATTGTTATATAGTGTTCTACTGTTATTCAGGTTCTTTTTAATTATTTGGTAAAGATAATGTCCACATAACAATAACAAATTAATTTATTTCTTCAGCAACATTTGCTGGTAGGCCTATCTTCACCAACAATGCTATAATAGAAACTCCTAAACTAATAATGCCTAACTTACTTCCCCAATTTTTATCATAATTGAGTGATAATAGTCATGCTGACTGTTTGACTTATTAACTCGATCACTGAAGAATAGACGCCATCTTAAGTCATGCTGACAAGGAAGAAAGAGCTGAAAATACTTATCTGGCAAAGCTTCATCATGGTAACTTTATTCCTAACGTGCTGTCCTGGCAGAATTCAGCCTACTAGTCTCTGAGTCAAGTCTTTTCAGCTAAATTCCTAGTCAACCAGGATTACTACTCATGCTGTTACTACTCTATATCAACTTACATTCAGAGAAAACATTACTCCCTAACTGTATGTATAATTGGTATAGCATTCAGGCATCTGGAGGAGAATATGATAGTTATCAGACAGTCATAAAGTTCTCACTACTCAGCTAGATCAGTGACTGTCATAGATCCAGATAATCACCTAGCCATACCCATATTAATAGGGATGCCTCGCAATGTTGGCCACCTATCAGAGC